GACTATTTTAAGAAATTTCCTTTTTTAAATTCTTTAGATCCAGCTCTAATATTGTGGAAAAAAGCCGCTAAACAAATCTGGCTGTTTGTCAAGACTAATATGGAAAGTCAGAGGTTTAGCATCCGTTAATATTATAAATTTTTTCCCATACAGATGTTCGTGAAATTGCTTTACTGATCTGAAGATTGCATAAAGTTCTCTCCTAATTGAAGGATATCTAGCCTCAGCAGGTGTTAAAAGTTTTAAGTAAAATTGTACTGGGAAAATCTTTTCATCATTTTTTTTGCATTAATATGCCACAAATGGCTGATCTAGAAGCATCGGTTACTAAATATAAAGGTTTATCATTTTCTATGTTTTTTATTGTGGGTTTTTCTAAAATTAATTCTTGTATTTTATCTAATGCATTTTGGCATCTCTCGTTCCACACGAATGGTATATTCTTTCTTGTTAAATTTACTATTGGCTTGACAATTTCTGCATAATTAAAAATTAAGTGTCGAAAATAATTTACCATGCCTATGAATGTTTGAACCTCTTTCACATTTCTTGGCCTAGGAAATTTGGCTACTTTCTGAATATTCTCCTCTGAAGGAGCAAAACCATTCTTATTAACCGAAAAACCTAAATACGTAATCTCTTGTTTACATAACTGCAATTTGGCTGGGTCTAATGTTAAATTAAATTTTTTTAACTTGTCAAACACCTTTTGTAAAATAATTACTAGTTCATTTATACTGTTAGCTGCAACAATTATGTCATCTAGAAAATATTGTAAATTTGGACCCTGCAATTCACCTAAACATTTTGATATTAGAGTATGGAAATAAGCAGATGAATTTTTTGCACCAAAAGGTAACCGAGTTGGTTGAAAATTGCCAAGTTCCGTGCAAAAGGCTAATTTTTCTTTATCTTTCTGATCTAACTTTATTTGAAAAAATGCTGACTTAAGATCTAGCACACAATAATAACTTTTACCTGCTATATTATGCAAAATATCTGAAATCTTAGGTAGACATATTTGATATGATTCAGTTATGCAATTTAAGCAATCTATAATCTACTGCCATTCTAAATTTTAATTTGCTAGGATCAGTATTAGGTGGTGCTTTCTTTTTGACAAAAATTACTGGAAAACTGTAACTCGATGTCGATGGCTCTATAATACCTGCTTCTAACAATTTGGCTATCTCCTCTTGGGCATATTTTTTAGCAATGCGAGGAATAGTGTATGGTCTAGTTTGAATTGGAAAGTTATGTAATAAATTAAATTGTGGCACGACAGCATCAGTCTCACCCAGAGTGGTGTAAGATTTTGAAAACACAGCTGAATTTTTCATGAGCATTTCAATCATCTTATTTTTTTGTTCTGCTTCTAAATGACTTAAATCAAAATCATCTGGGCTTAATTCCTCCTTTCTTAATTTTTAATTTCTTTTAAAGTTATATGGTTAATCTGCAAATTTTGTTGCTCTCTAGGTTTTTCAAATTGTTTTTCTTCGACTTTATATACCTTACCAATCTTTTCACCCTTTCTTAGAATAATTGTGGAATTGGAATTGTTTTCAATTATGGTGAATATATATTGCCTGTCACTTATCTCATGAATCTCATGAATCTCATGAATCAGTCATATCTATCTCATGAATCAGTCATACCTATCTTGCCCACTTTTCGCCTGTCTGGTGAGAACATTATTTGCTTTTCTTTCTGCATATTAATTGGAATGCTTAACTTTACTATCTCTGCTGTATTTGGCGCAATTCTGGTATTCAATACTACTCTTACAATACCCGACTCCTCTGGTCTACTATTCTTGTCTACCTTTTTTGCATTAATGTTAGTACAATTTTTTCTTTTGTCCAAAAGATCAAAATATGTGTTATCAATGATTAACTGACTTTTATCTGCATCTATAAGTATCTTATTTTTTTGAATGAAATCATACCCTAAAATCATTTGATAATTTGTGTTCCAATTATGTTGTGTAACAAAAAATTGGTTGGCAAGCCATTTATTTCCTAAACGAAATTTTAAGTTTACAGCAGATAAATATGGGATAGTAGCATTATTTAGCGTATGTATTCTTACAGATCTGCTTAAGTAATGAATCTTTGTATAATTTTTTATTACTTGCAAGGTGTCTGGCTGTATTAAGCTTAAATTTGCACCTGTATCAAGTAATGCTTCTACCACAAAGTCGCCAAATTTGATTTCTATTACTGGTAATTCTGTGATACTATTAGTCTGGCAAGAAGCTACCAATTTTTGTTCATTACTTTCTTTAATTTTGTGTCGGAATCTTTCATGTGTATTTGGCCTATTTGAGTTCCTTATTTTCTTAATTTTGTCTTGTTTCCCCCAAATTTTTTATGGGCACTTGAGTAATACTTTGTGTATCTGGGAGATCTGCAAGTACCCTTCATTAGTTTAAATTATTTCTACGAGTATTGTATCTTCTGTATTGTGGCCTATTTCTATTACTGTTCTGTGGTCTATTACCTCGCGTGAAAGCATATCTATTCCTTCTATTGATAAAGTTACCCCTATAAAAATTTCTTCTGTGGTTGTTTCTAGCCTGTCTATAATATTGAAAATTATTGTTTGAAGGAAAATAAGGACACTCTGTAGTCCAATGATTCTGTTGGCAAATATGACAAGACTCTCTATTATTACTACTTTGTGTAGCATTATTTTCTAGGTCTAGTTACATTGTTTACACTACCATTAGGTAAAATTTCATTAAATTTTTTTGACAAATCCTCAATGGCTCTATTATTTTGCATTTGTTGCATAATTAATGTATTTAATTCAGGTGAAAAATCATGTGTCTGTGAGCTATTACCAGAATCCTCCAATGCTTTTTCTATGTTCTTTGCCTGTTTAACAGCAGTAGCAAAATCAACAGGTCCTAGTTTTTTAACCTCCAGTCTTAAATCTGGTCTGAGAGCTTCTAAGAATTTTGAAAGCATTGCTTTTTGAGTGAGGTTATGTACCTCTTCACTCGAACTAGGATAGCACCCAAAATATTTTGTGGCATAAGTATTCACTTTTTCCGCTAAGTCCTCGACTGACTGATCTGGGGTCTGTCTAATTGAGTTAAAGTTATTTTGAATTGTGTCAAATGACTGAGATTTTGCAAATTTTTTACTTAGTAATGCTTTTAAATCATCAAATGACATATCTTTACACGATTCATTATCAATTACAAATTTTAATGCTTTACCCCTCAATTGAATTTTTAACACCAAACTTTTTCTGTTCTCATTCCAGTTCTCTAAATTTGCCATTTGGCATAACTGATCTAAAAAAAATGTTATATTTTCGTCATGCTCCCCTGAAAAAGTAGGCAGAGCAGTAGCCAGACTCATATTCATTACATTATTTTTCTTAGCCATTCTGAATCAATTTACTATACTTTAGTACCACTCTAAATTACTATTATTATTACTTCTAATATATAGTACATTCATAAATACACTATTGTAACTTATCGAAATTTTTCACATGGATACAAGTTATTACATACTCCATTACCACACAATATGATATACATTCAGGAATAATTTCTTAAATACTGACCAATTTTGAATTGATATTACCATTTTCACATATCTATTTTTTATCATTAAATTATTTCACATTAGCAGGAAACAGTCATATGGAATTCTATATATATATTTTTTTTACATATGCAATTTTCAACTTTTTCTTAATGATTCATATCAGATAAACACAAAATTTAAAATTTTATCCAATCATTACTAATATTCACCTATTTGATATCAGACATCATCACAAAATTCAAAATATTTAAGCAATTATCAAACTGGAATCACATGTGTAGTTATATTTTTAGGCATAAGCATAAAATGGTTCTCTACCTGAAATGAAACAGTTAAAACTTAATTTCCTTTTTTTTTTTTTTTTTTTTTTTTGTCACGGCACCATTAATGTGCCTTTATTATTATATCCTGGTCCTAGGAGCAGACCACTTTTTTTGTTGTTAATCGAACTCTCCTAGGATCCTTGGCAGCCGATGGAATCTTTTAAATCGAAACACTAATTTATAAAACTGTTCTAACAGTCTGCAAAAAATAATAAGCCGGATCCAATTAGAAGATTAAGGAACAGCGCAATCCGCAACATTAACTGAAATGCCTTAAATAATTTTACCCTAGCTTATACCATCCATTATACATTAAACGTGCATGCATAAATGCATATATGCATTTACGCATGCGCATAAAGTTTGTAGCTTTGAGGTTCGGATTATAGATCATTCCAAATTACAGACTTTGTACTGTATTAAAAATATATAAATAAAGGACACTAAGTATATTTATTTTGATTTTCTTCTCTGAGGTGCTTATATAATTTTCTAGTTATATCTTCTAGTTTGTCAGATAATATGATGATTTGCAAAGGTTACATTGAAGCATTTTGATAAAAGTTGGGTATGAATAACAGCAAAACACGGAAAAGATATGTTTATAAAAGAAGGGGAAAACCTTTCCGGGCAGATTTTCTAAAAGAAGCTGACCAATGGTTACTCCATTCAAAGATTGCTAAAACTTAACAAAGGACTTTTTGAGAGGGGAAGGTGCATTATAATAAAAAAAAAGAAGGTTAAAATTCCAGAGAATGGATTTAAAATAGCTGATGTCATTAAGCAAAACTTTATTTTATACAAAAATATAACTTGTAACCTAATGACAATAAGAAAAGTTTAAATCAGATACTATTTTTCTTATTTACTTTTATTCTATTTTAAAGTTACTGTGCTTTAGAAAAATGCTTATGACTCCAATGGCAAATTTGACAACAGTTTGGGAATACTACAAAATGCATGTTTGTAGCATATTGCTCATAAAAAACTCTAAATTGAATTTTAATATTGTGCAAGACATAGAATACCATTTTGATTATACTGTCCTTATTACGTGGATAGAAGATATGTAAAATAAAAATAATGAATAAACTACATGGATTAATTACTTTACCTTTTTCCCATCAATGTATAAAAAAGGACATCTTGTTTCAACCTGCAAATGAGAGAAGAAAAACCAGCTCTTAAATACTATGTAAAATTTAAACATTTATTAAGGAAGTTCATTATTTTAAATTTTTAAATTAAGAGTTAAGTTCCATTCAAGAACTTTTCGCGATTTGTAAACAGAATATGCACCATACTGAGCCCCTCAGAAAATTTTCAAAACACAATTCCATCTATACAAAATAGAACATAATCCACATTTTAAAACAATCATTCATTAATCATATAGCATCCTACTATTAAATAGTGCTTAATTACTATTTCAAGTTATTCAATTAAAAAACTTATGAAACTTTGTTAATGAAATCTAAAAAAATAAATCAACTGAAGGTTCTATTTTAATCCAAATTTTGAATCTAAAATTTCCATATTCATTCTTTGATTGCCATAAAAAAAACTTTAGTTAAAATTAACATTAATCACATAATATGTGATTTTCTGCCTTTAGTTAGTTGCCGTGTTTCTCAACCTATAAGAACACATCAACGCATAAGAAGCTCTGTGATTTATCAGGTTAGAATTTACATAAAATACCTAGATCAGACAGAAATGGATCAAACTACCTGGTTTAATGATAGCACTTAATACAATGAAAATGAAACTGTTACATTAAAAAATTAGCAAATATATCAGCATTTCTTCATTGTAGAATTCCAGAAATTTGTCATAATTGCTGCTAAAAGCAAAAACAAAGTTATTTTCACTTTGGTTGTCACTGTCGCTGGATTTGTGACATTCTTCGTACAATATGTCATTTTCACCTCCATCTAGCGCACTGCTAATTCCACACTTTTGTAAAGATTTTATAACAGTCACACTTTTAACCTTCTGCGAGGTTCACTCACGAACATTAGAAACTGATGGCCATTTTATTCTTCCCGTCAGTGTTGACGTTATGAATTAGCACCTTTATCCCCTTTATCCACTCATCATGCATAAATCACCATTTATTTTAGGAAGTACCGTTAAGGACATATTAAAACCATTTTCCTCTACTGGCTTAAAAGAGTGACATTTTTATCAACATTTGTAATAAAGGCAAACATTTTCTATGCCTAATACAGGAAAAAAATTTAGTAATGTTTTTTTCTGGCAAATCAACTTGAATCTTAGACAATGAAGTTATACACTCGGCCCATAAGAAGCAGGCTGATTTTGGAGCACATTTTGGAGTAAAAAACTTATGAACTGAGATATTAAGATATTTACATCTTGGATGTTGCTACTAAAACATTATTTTTAATTTCAAACATGCAATAAAGTGGCAAAAAAAGGATATTAACTCTTAGATAACCAAACCGTCCCACATAGCCGTTCATTCAGACGACCACAACAGCTCGAAAATGGCCGAGATTGCGATCTTGTTTTCTTCCCTCCCCTTAAGGTATGCAGTAGCAGGTGCAGGTTCCCCAAATGCATTGTATCAGTTTATTGCAGGGATTTTGTCCTAAGAGTTTTTTTTCGGGGGGGGGGGGTTCTTATCTTTAGGTTGCATGTGACATTTCGTTGTTGATTCTTTTTTGGTGCAGCATGCTGTTAAGCTTTAATTTAGCTCAACAAGAAATTGAGGCTATTCTTTTTAATGATACAGATGATTCAAATTTGGAATCAGAAGATGGTGATTAGATAAAAATAGAAAATGAAATAAATGATAATGAAGAAGAATCATTTATAGCAAAAAAAGAAGACGATCATAGAGCTGATCTGGAAGTTGATGTTTCAAAAAATTGTAATGAAAATCCAGGAAAAATCTGGTCTACTAATGTTAACCAATTTTGTCCTCATTTAACAGCTTGTTGGAAACAATTCATAATTTACTTGTTAGTGCTTGACCTTTATAATATGTAAAGTTGTTTCTTACAGATGAAATTTTTGAATTAATTCTCATAAATACAAATAAATATGCTGAATTCCGTGCATGAAAGTGTGGCACTGTTGATTGTCAATGGGCAAAAATGTCATCTATAAAAGAAATATGAGTATTCACATAGACACATATATGCTCATACATACACACACATGCATACACTTATATATTTCTGATTACAGAACAGCACCCAATTTCAAAAAGATGAAAACATTACTGATCATCCCCAAAACGTGTATAAATATGCAGTGAACACATTTATGCATGTGACACATTTATGTATGCATATATAAACCTAAAAATTTATATGAGTGATAATATGCAAATGCATATTTACCTATAACATATGCAGAAATAATAATATACATATATAACTAAATAAATGAAAACATGGAAAAACAATGACATTTATAAATGCGCTTTAAGACTTGTACAATAAATAAAATCATAAAAAAAGGCAATAAACTAAGGTTGATTCCTCACAAAAATGGGATCAAACATATGATCAACAAATGCAAAGACCCTCATTAATTTTGGAAAAAGAAAAACAATGTCAAATAAAATTAAATGAAAAAAAAAATAACTCAGCACTTTAATTAACAAATAGCAACTGAATCTGCAAGGTACATGAAGTGAAATCTTAATCCTCCATTCAATAAAATAAAAAACTTCTGGTAAAAATGAAATTTAAAAAAAGAAAATTATTTATTTATATTATATTCATCATGGCATGTGAGGGTAGCCTATTGTATATGGCAAAATACAAGAGTTATCTGCTTGAGGATTGGCGAAGGCATGGCCTTGATTTTCCCAACAGAAATTGGCTCATATTTATGTTACATGTGATAATAATAATACACGTATTTTGCTTAGTGGGGTCCATTTCTATATACTTTATAAAAAACTAGAAATATTTTGGTACTTAACAGAATTATGATAAAATATCCACTCTTTAAACCACAGCTATTTATCATAAATTTTAAACAGTAATAAAATTCCTGTTTAAAAATGTAAGGATTATGTTTTATTTTTAACTAATTTATTCCTTTGTATAAAAATAACAGTTGTAAATAAAATCTCAGTCATGATCATAACAAAGCCAGAGAGGCTTGTTGGTCTAACCTATAGAACAGGTTTATAAAGAATGGGGTTAAAGGCTAACAGAATCTTTGTTAGAAAGTAGAAAGGATGTAATCAGAAATCTTCACACCAATTTCTATATTAATGGACGGGGAGGGGAGAAAATTGCTGTGAAAGTATTTCGGGTGTTTCAGTATTTTAAGGATGTATGTTAGCAGAGGGTTTGGATTTCAAAGAGTTACAACAACAACAACCAATTTTAGTGCCATCACTTGAAAAATAAATAATCATTAATAAGCAGTAGACTGCATACTACATGATTACCAAAATAACATTATATTAAGATCAAACATAAATATTAAAAAATAATGATGTGATGCAATAATAGAGTACTTTATTTTCAATCAAAAATTGAAATTGATACATGTAAAATTACATTAAAAAAATCAAGGTAAGAGGTTACTTTTTTAGCTTTTAAAGCATTTTACTTACACTGATCTTAAATTTCATTCAAATTTTAACTGTACGAAACTATATCATCATCATACTTTAATAATACACTTGAATAAAGGATAAAACTACAGGTTAAATAATAGTTCTCTGAAATAACCTATTCTTAAGTTTGACTCTAGAAAAAAAATTAAATTTAAGACTGCTTTTTGTTTTTTACATGTTTATTAGTAACTTACAATAGTACACATGATATTTTAAGATAATAAAATATATTCTACCTTAGATTTATTACATATTTCATCACTTTTGGATTCATTTATAATATGAGCTAGAGAACATTCATAATCTTCCATCAAGAGAAACATTCTAAAAAGAAATAATTTTTTAATTATGAATTTTCATTCAAAAAGACCAGATTCAATACTTCTGTAAAAAGCAGAAAAATATAAAAACTTTATAAAAATTTAGGATCAATAAACAGACTTAAAATAATTATATTTTCCTACAGATAATAATAAAAAGTTTTGCCAGTGTTGTTGGTAAGAGATGGACAGCCTCATAGCTAAGAAATTTGTGGACTTTAAAGCAATGAAATAAGCTTTTTCAAACTTTTTACTTATATGTTAGTTTAACAAATGAATTAATAATCTTAAAAATTCACTGTTTGGTGCTTTTGTATATATAAAAAAAAAATTAAAAAGTTAATTCTGTCTTCATCATCTTTTGACAGGTTTCAAAACTGCTCAATTTTCCCCCAACCATTGAACAATTTTTTATTTTAAAATTTCAGAATTAAAAAACTACCTGTTACAAATTTTGAAATTTTCACAATTCTAGTTTCATTTACACTGTTATTACTATGCTTGGGAAAAAAAAAAAAAAAAAAGAGAGAGAGAGATCTTTAAATTATGCACCAGTAGGAATAACTTGCAAACTTTTTCAGGGGTTATGATTTTTCCTGACATGTGGCTACAACCTATATTTCAATTTTGCTGCTTGCAAATAATACTGTTTTTAATGAATGAAGAATTTCTGCTTTAACAATATCCGAAAATAACGAATGCAAATGATAAAAAGATAACGCATTAAATTATGTTTTTGCTGTAGAATTTTTATTACAAAAACATTTGAAATGTTGAAGAAGCCTTTAAGGACAACACTTTATTAAAAACAAAGAGCTTTTGAATGGTTATAAGACACTAATTCAGAAGACAAACAACAAAAATCAGCGTTATATTTACAAAATTTTCACAGGACTAGTTTCGATGGTTTTACCGAACCACCATCCTCAGCTGCAAAACCGCAAATAAACAAGATAGGAAAAAATGATTAGATAAGATAAGAAAGCTCGGGCAAGGATAAGCAAGTGGTGCCATCTGTTGGTGAAACCAGAACTAAAACATAATTTCTTTAAAAGCCAGTTTTAAAATATTTTAAAGAAAAATAATTTCTTTAAAGGTTATAAGATGTTTATAGAAAGCAAGAATGCAACAAATATGAAACATGCTTTACGAGATCATGCACTTCAACTAATGATGTATAACACTGATCAAATTCGAAATTTTGTGCTAAATTATTTGGACTTGTGATGTGTCACATCTCGAGCTGTTCCAAAAAGAGCAATGTGTTTATAAGTGGCCCAGAAAATGCTTTCTTAAAGCAAGCTCTTCTTAAAATACATTTTTACCAGTGTTAAAATATAGATTTACACTTTTGACATGGGAACTGTCCAACAATCAAACAAACAGCCCTTGAAAGCTGAAAAAGGTCTAGAAGACAACATCAAACATTGTCAGAAATTAAAATAATGTTTACTAATTCAGAAGTCAAACAACAAAAATCAGCGTTATATAACGCTGATTTTTGTTGTTTGACTTCTGAATTAGTATTTATTCGGCGTGTTATTGTGTCTTAATAACGTTTACTGTTTTTCCTTCGATTGTCATAATGCCGAGCATTGTGAATTTTTACCAACTGTCCAAACTGTTAATAAAATAATTTGAGTATTTCACAGCATTTTCCCAAAATAATTAAAGGAAAATTATCTGCACTGTAGAGAAATAACTTCTGGATTTTGTCCTACCACAATGCACTGACTAAGAAAACTTTTGTTATTTGTTCGGAAACTTTTGAACAAAAATTCAATACTGTTCTGCAAGTTTCATATTCATATAATACAGAATAAGGTGAATCATCTTATTCCTGTGGTTTAAATGTCTCTTTGTGGTCACCGTTTTGAGTTTACAGACACAGTAGCTGAAAATTCACTGCGAGTCTTAAAAGGGTTTAAAAAAAAAAAAAAAAAAAAAAAAAAAAAAAAAAAAAAAACCACCTTTTCCCAATGATTGGAAAGGACACTGGCATAAAAGCATGTGCGAAGTGCTGCTCAGAGAGGCTATACATCATTAATCAAAACATCTATCTAAGTAATCAGAAGGAGCAATATCTGGTGAATATAGCAGGAGGGGAAATACTTCTCATTTGAAAGTTCAGTAGGTTTTGAGCAGTGCCAGAACATGTGGATGAAGGTTATTATGCCGGTGAATAATTTTGTCATGTCTGGAGTAGCATTTAGTGTTTATTTAGTGGCACATTTAGTGTTCAGCCCAATATCATCAACAGTGTTCAGCATAGAGCTCCAGTAATGATTTTGTTTAATTTAAGCAACTCATAAATACATGACACCAAGTTCATCCCATCATATACACAACATGATTTTTTTCCCATGAATATTCAGCTTCTTTATTGACGTTGAAGCATGGCCAGGTGGTTTCCACAATTTCTTCATCTTTAAGCTATCACAGTGGATCCATTTTTCACTACCAGTAACTATACGAAGGAAAAATCCCTTTCATTTATGCCTGGTAAGCAGCATTTCATGAGTAAAAAATCAGCATTCAATGCTTCTCGGCTTCAGTTTATATGGAACCCAATTTCTTTCCTTTTGAATCATTTCCAACGATTTTAAATGATATAAAATTCCTTCTTGAGCCACTCCTAATGTATGTGCAAGTTCTATTTGCATTTGGGCATGAATCTTTATCCAATAACGCTTCCAATTATACGTCTTCATGCACTTCCGTCCTTCCACTATGTTCTTTGTCTTCAACGTCAATTTATTGTTCTTAAACTTTTGAAACCAGACATGACATGTTCTCTCTCTTAAGGCAGCCTCACCATATGATGTGCCTGCCTCAGCTGCAGATTTCTTCAAATTAAAAAATAAATTAAAAGTGCCCCAAAATGACACTCATTCGGCTCAAAACACGACATTTTCTCAATGAAAAAATATATTGCTAATATTTCAAAATTATGTTGTTAACACATGTCCAACGTTCGATATGACGTTTGACATCACACAATTTTAACACACTGACTGCCAGTCACTAGAGTTAGATTGATAGTTATTGCCACCCATATGGAAGTAAATTGTATCCAGATGCCAACATACTTATTATAAGAAATGTGATTTAAAAATATTAATGAAAGATAATTATGTGATACCTAAGTATTATTTAATGCTTTTATTAAAGAATTTTTTAATTACGCGCCAATGCGCGATTACCACTACATGTCAAAATTTTTCCCAAATGCCACATTATGCGCTGGCGCGTGGAATGTAAAAAATAAATTTAAATAAGAAAAATAAGTGACAGTACGCATTATTTTTATATCAATATGTATTACAGACAATTATACATATTACAAAGGAATTTATAACAAGAAAATTAAAGACATTATACAGATACATCTAGAATGTTATTTGTGTATTATCTTTGAACAATCTAAGCAGTACCCGGGAGATCCTTCACAAAATTTGCAAACATATATTGTATCTTTACGTTTCCCTTGGGAATAGCAACTTTTGCATTGCTTTCTTAGAATTTTTCCTTCTTTTTTTTTTCCCCCCGTGTACTCAGCACATGTTCAGATTCAGACTGATCACACACAGGAGCACGAAGAACAGATGGCTGTTTCAGTAAACTTCGTATCACTGATAAATGGTAGTCATAAAGTGATGTATTTTCATTGGAATACTTATTATAGATAAAATGTGAATTGTTCATCATTATTTGCAAAATATGCACAAATATTTTCGTGAGCCACCTAATTGTTTTTCTCTCACAAGGATAATAAGCAAGCATCTGATCTTGCTTATCAATACTGGCCATAACTTTATTATATTGAATTACAGGTAGAGTTTCGATTTAATTTCACCTCTTTTGTTTATTATTTCTGCCATATCAATTTTATATTCATTGGAAATGTAAGTGACGTCTCTCTTATCCTGCCACTTTGCAATCATCACACCATTAGCATACTTTGTCCTTTCTTCAGTTTTTTTTTTTTTTTTTTTTTTTTTTTTTTTCGTTTACCTCTTTCGTAAATGTCTTTCTGTTCTTTCTGATTGTCCCAGTGCAGCTGTTATAATAATTGTCCACATCCAGCATTTCCTCGAATAAATTCATAACAACTTTTTTTTGCATGTTCTTTTCCGCCAGAATCATCCAACGTGTCTGTATATATCATAAATTTCAGAACCCTACCATCAGGGGTTGTGATGATGTACAACTTGACACCATATCTGTGACGTTTATTTGGTATATACTGTCTGAATATAAGCCGTCCATGCCACAATACCATCAATTCACCATTTTCCATCATAGTTGAATCATCCTGCTGAGATGCAGCCTCTTGCACGATTCGTTCTCCATCATCATCAGAATCTGAAATATCATGGGTACCAGTCGGAGGAACGAATTCTTCGTCACTGTCATAACTAAAATCACTCGGGTACTCATCCGATAGCTCAGCCAACAAACTTGCTATTTTATCATCCATAAGAGCCATTTTATATTGAACTTTTCTTTTTTTCGGGCACGAAGACCCTGCACTATCATCTCTATAACTCATACTAAAAGATTATTTTTTAATAAAATATAAAACAATAATTTCGAAACCATGATTATTTATACATAGTTTCTAATTTTCACTCCATGCCAATACCATAAGAAATTCCCTGCATGCAATGCCAAATGAACTGGAGAATGAATAACAAGTATAGAATTTTTCCGCACCAGCGTGTGACTGGCTGCTCAGACATCACCCCACATGTGTGACGCCATTTTTTGTCAAACAGCGGATACTTATTTGTACTCCCAATATATATATATGATTTAAAAATTAATTTGAGTTTAGAATTATTTGCTGAGGGGTCTTCCTTTTTTAGTATTATTTTCTAAATTTGCATGGTACTTCCTAATTATAGCGGCATCAAACAGGCTTTTGATGACCGGGTTTAAGAATAAATGTTGCATGTTATACATCTAATGATTAAAGAACATTAAAAAAAAATTTCCTATATAAATTGCTTCTTCACATTATGTTGCTTCAGCCCCTGAGAGGTTTCAAAGGAGTATACTTTCATAAAGAAAGGAAGAACTGAAATACTTTTCAGCTCATTTCTGTTTTGTTTATCATAATTCAAATGGATACTTAAGGCTTTTATTTAGATAGGTGCTCTTCAAATAATTTGCTTGAAAACTGCTAAGCTTATAAATTTTACTTCAAATTTAAAATCACTTTAAAATAAGTGCTAAATAATAACAACACATAACAATTTATGAAACTTATGTGATACTTTCAATAATGACATAAATTTTATAATATTACCACTTACGAATCAAATGTCTCTCCTGCTACTATGCCATACGTTTGTACGATGTTAACATTTTTGTGTTTAGTTGAATTAAATCCATGCAGTATGTTGGATTCATTTATTACATCTGTGAAATCTGCAAAGGAAAAAAATGTTCATGCACATTCAAACAAAATATAACTAACATAGATGATATTGGGTCATTCTAAGAATTATATTAAACCTATATATAATTATTGTATTGTTACATAGCACAAAAAGGTTCGAATTTTATTTTTATCAACTACACAGTCTAGAACTAGAGATAATTGCATTTATCTGATTTAGCACAAACATAATCTAAGATTTATTCTAACTTTTCTTTGGATTTAATGCATACAATCAGTAATATTGGAAGAAAAACATACCGATGCACAAATTAAAATTAGGCAAAGGAGCAGTCTTGGTCCGATACAGATTTTGAATAAAGCTTCACTGTTTTCGAGGTCAATCTGATGTAAGTTTCTCTTTTTCAGAAAAAAGAAAGAGGGGAAGACTTTTTTTAAAAATTACAATAAGTCTTTAATCCGGACATCCATAATCCGGACTTCAAAACTACAAACTTTCTGCGCATGCGCGTTTAATGCATAACAGACGGTATAAACTAAGCTAAAATTATCTAATTATATATTTCAGTTAATGTTGCAGATTACGTTGTTCCTTAATCTTCGAATTGGATCCAGCTTATTATTTTTTGCAGACTGTTAGAGCAATTTTATAAAAGTAAGTTGGAACATTCGATTATGTCAAATAGAATTTCCGATGCTGGATCTACAAAGGATGTTTCGATGTCCATCAAACAAAAAGTGGAATTGCTGCAAAAAATGGATAAAGGCATATCCTTTGTTTCTCTAACCATTCCGAAATCTGTTTTTCAATTTCACTCTGTTCTGCGGGGGCGGAATGTCGCGGCGCGCAATGAACTGGAAGTTGATCTGTCAGCAATATCCTTATCTTCAGGGCAGATATTTTTATTTTATTCAGCTTATTTATAATTCTTTACTAAATGTAGTATTTCATCTCGATGTACTCCGTCTTTGATATGATTTAAATCAAATTCCTCATCATTATAAATATCACGAATACAAATCAAACAGTTTTCTTGTTGCAATTTTCCAATTTCGACTACGCGTAATGTATGCTTTACGTATGTGCGCATTGAAAGAAATGTTTAATAAAGTAAACAAATAAATATTAAGCTTTTTTTTCATAAATTTTGATGCCCTTTAGATCATAATTGCTCTTTATATCTTAAATTATGGTTTTATATTTTTAATTTTATAATTTCTGCATGCCATCTTACCAGATTTAAACTGATGATCTATAACCCAGAAAAACCGATAATCCGGAATCGCCGAAGTCCCGACGAGTCCGGATTAAAGACTTTTGACTGTATACCTAATAATAATATATAAAAATGGGGGAAAAAAACAACAACAACTTTAGGCTGATAATTATTTTATGCAAAATCTCAAAATCTTTTCTATAATATTAACATTAATTAAAGAATACAAATTTTCATCCACAGTTTCAGAAATTCCAATTTTGATATAATTAACTTACGAATATCTTCGTAATCTTTAAGTAGCACTTTTTTCTTCGTCTTTTTGACAGTACATCGGTCTGAAAAGAAAGTATTTTTTGCACATTAATGAAAATAATTTTTCCGATATCAGATGAAAACCGAAAAAGATACATAACGGTTAAGTCCACATAAATTACTACATATTTTGTACAGAGAAACAATTAAGCTGATAAAATATACACTATCAATAAGTATTTGGACATCTGTGATAGAAAAGGGGAAAAAACATATTCAAGAGTTGATAGAACCTGCACAAGCAGCAATTACAGCCTCAACCCTCCAGGGGTTACTTTCCACAAGTCCTTGTATCATGGCTACTAGTATTTTCTTCCACTCGGCTTAGAGAAGACATTCCTTCACCTATGGACGTTTGCTGCATCCCTTAATTTGGGGATCCAACTTGACCCGAAAGGGTTCAGGTCTGAGCTCTGGGCAGCCCAATTCATTCGGTTAATCACACTGTCACCATACCAATCCATAGTGGATCTTGTAACATGACAGCTAGCATTGTCATCCAGAAAATAACATTGCACCAACCTGTAAAACTGCCACCACATAGGAAGCATAGTGTCATCCAAAATAGTACAGCAGGCATTGGTGTTGAGCTTACCATGAATTTTGACCTACAGTCCCAGTCCATAACAAGAGAAACAACCACAGACCATAATTCCACTTCTCCTGAGCTTTATTGCAAGCACAATGCATTCTGGCAGGAGGCGTTTGTTATATATGTAACTGTAACTGTATCTATTATTATCTGTAACTATAACTGTAACTAGGAATGATTACATATGTTTCTATATTTATACCTAATGTATCAGAATTGAGATCATGCTTAAGAGATTTGTTGAAAAAACAAGTTATCTGGAACTGGAATGCAACACATGAAAAAGCATTTAGAAGACTAAAAGATGTCTTAGTAAATAAACCAGTTTTACAGTATTATGATATAAACTTGCCAGTAGTTTTATCTGTAGATGCATCTCAAGAAGGACCAGGAGCAGTCTTACTGCAGAATAATTTACCAGTGGCATATGCATCTAAGGCATTAACAGATACACAGAAGAATTATGCTCAAATCGAAAAGGAAACTTTAGCTATTGTATTTGCGTGTGAGAAATTTCACCAGTATATATTTGGAAAAAATGTTACTGTGGAAAGTGATCATAAACCACTGGAATCAATTTTTAAAAAGCCATTAAATAAATGCCCTGTAAGACTACAAAGAATGCATATAAGATTACAGCCATATCAGTTTGAGATAAAATATAAACCAGGAAAAGAACTTTTTATAGCGGATGCATTATCAAGATCATTCACTGATAAAGGATCTGATTTCTTTGAAGGAGAAATAGAAGCTCATGTTGGATTAGTTTGTAGAATGTATACCAATGTCTAATGGTAAAATGGAAGTTTTTTTCAACTGGAAACAGAAAAAGATGAAGAACTACAAGTTTTAAGAAAATTAATTAAAACTGGATAGCCAGATGAAAAATGTATGGTTCCAGAACTGGCAAAACCATATTTTAACTTCAGAGAAGAACTATCAGAAGCAATGGATTATATTTAAAAATTCCTGTGTTGTTTGTACCAAGAAGTTTACGAAAAGATATGTTAAGCAGAATTCATTATGGTCATTTAGGAGTAGTAAAATGCAAGATCAAAGCAAGAGAAATATTATATTGGCCAGGAATGTCCAAAGAAATTGAAGATTTGGTACTGAATTGTCAAACATGTTTAAGTTTACAAAAAAGCTAATACTAAAGAACCAATGATATCTAAAGAAATACCTAATGGTCCATGGGAAGTATTGGGAACAGACCTCTTTTACTTTCAAGGAAGGGATTATCTAATAGTTATAGATTATTTTAGCAAATATGTTGAAATTGTACATTTGGAAGATTTGTCAAGTGTAGCAGTGATAAAGCAATTGAAATCAATTTTTGCAAGACATGGTATTCCGAAAATAGTATATTCGGATAATGGTCCACAATATAATTGCAGGAAATATAAAGATTTTGCAAGAAGATGGAATTTTGAAACCAGAACTTCAAGTCCTAAATACCCACAGTCTAATGGAATGGTTGAAAGACATATTCAAATTGTCAAGCGAATGTTAGAAAAAGCTGTAGTTGACAACAAGGATCCATATTTAGTTTTACTGGAATATCGTAACTCTCCTATTTCAGATGAAATTAAGTCACCTTCTGAATTGATGTTTGGAAGAAAAGTAAATGGATTGATGCCTATAAAAGAGAATTTTGTCCAAGCTAAACGATATGAAGACCATAAACAACATTTACTGAAGAGACAAACCTTACAAAAAAGTTATCATGATAGGAATGCAAGACCATTAAAACCACTGAAAACAGGATATCATGTTTACATAAAAGAGAAAGGGAAAAAACTAAATGAAAGAGGGAAAATTATAGAAGAAGCAGAAAGACCACGTTCATATAGGATTATAAGAACAGATGGAAAAATTGTAGAAAGGAAGAGAAGAGACCTTCTTAAAGGAACTAATCAGGAAGAGTTTGCAATACAAAACAACTATGAGAATGAAGTTATAGATGAACCCGAGATACATGAAAATAGTAGGAGCACTACAAATTTAAATGTGCCTGTAATTCCTTCAAAATCTAACAGAAGTGTTGTGTCACCAAATAGTGAAAGAGGTATAGTATCATCAAATTTTTCAAATGGACATAACTACGTCACTCGATCTGGTAGGACTGTTAAGAAACCTTATTATTTAAAAGAATATGTTTAATTTTACTACTATTATTATTTTTTATAAAAAAAGGGAGATGTTATATATGTAACTGTAACTGTATCTATTATTATCTGTAACTATAACTGAAATATAGTATAGTAGATGAACATCTTGTAATCATCACTGAGCACGTACCCAACACATATAAAATACAACACAGCGTTCTCCAGACACACTCCCCTGCCATTCGAATAGTAAAAGATGAACTTGATTCATCACTCCAGAGAGCACATTTCTACAAGCTATGGTCCACTATCAATGTGTTTTGCATCACATTAACTGAACAGTGAGGTGGACTTCGTGATCAAAGGCTTATGAATGGCAGCACAATCATGAAAACCAAGCAGATATGCTTCCTTATGGATGATATCCATCGAAACAACACTCCCGGATGCTTATTTAAACTTCTAGAGTATGTGAGCCCTCAGTTGGGTGCTATTCTTCTGAATTCTTGGGACAGCACCCGTCTGTCTCTATGTCCCAGTTTTGTGAGTCTGCTCACTCGGGGCACATTCCAATAATCCCCGCTCACTTCTACTTCTGAATCATAAAGGCCATTGTTGATTTTGGATAACTAGATATGCCCCTCAAGAAGTGGCCATTTCTGTGATATCTGACAATTAAGGCCTGTTTCCACTGCTGCATATGCGTTGCGGTGTCTATGCATTTCTCCAATCAGCAAGTGAATTCGCTTTGATTGACATTTGCAATTTGCGGTGACGGATAACGTACAGATGGAGTTCAACAATGTTCAACTTCTATTTGTATGTCTGCGAATGCATTGGGGTCACGTGGTAAAAAAAGGAGCAATCAGGTGTTGTCACCAAAAGTTAATGGCGGCAGAAGTAGCAATGAACGCTGGCTTAGGGAAAGAAAGTTTTGCTAAAAAATACTTATTTCTGAATTAACATTATAATGAGAAATCTGCATACTGAAAAAGACAGCAACCAGCTGAATTTAGTTAAAAAAAAAGGATAAGAAAAATAAGATAACTGCAACTACAGTACTAATTCGCATAGAAAATCAGGCAGTCAAGAAATTCAATTCAAGGAAATAAGGTGCAAAAAATATAATTTCAGGTCCATGAAATAGCAAAATTTGTCCTGACAATTATTTCCTAGTTCTGCATACACATTTACCTTTAATGAAACTGAATGTCTGACTATATCAAACTGCTGTAGCAAAGCAGATATGGCATTAAAAGAGTTGTTATTTTTTCTTTTGAAACAGGTAAAAACTAAAAATGTTAATTATAAATTAAATTTGATTAGCCTTTTAAATATTCCACTGCATTAAAGAGTATGTTAAATTTGCATTTCTCTATTTATAAATATACTTTTTTGTCTAACATATATTTGTAAGCGCATGGAATATATTTTTAGCACCCCCGTTAACTTCAATCGGAACATCACTTTAAAAGATAATATTTTTTGTAAGAAATGTTCTAGAAGCTGAAGAACAAACTCTGCTGAATTTTTTAGATGATAGCACACTGAAATAGGACCAAAAAATTTAGTTTTAAGAATTCATTTACTTGATGCTGTACATAAGCCAAAATTGCATACCACGCTCATGTGATGATAGCTCAGTGGTAAAGCTACAGTAACATGGTTTAACTTTTGGGGTTGCGAGTTCGAATACCATACGCTTTTTTCACCCTGTCTGCAACTTTCTTAGCTTCTGGTTCCAATTTGATTGATATTTGCATTTTATAATTTATTTCGATTATTAAATGCATTAAATTTAATGTTTTATTTATGCTCGTTTACTTAAATTTTGAAAATTATATAATATTTAAAGCATGCTCCCTATACATATATATATTTTCGTTTCACTTTTATGTGATACATACATGTGCTCAGACTATGGGATGTTTCCAGCTCTAAACTTTCACTACCAATTAACAGTATTAATGCTGTAAACATTAAAAAAATTACTACAATAATTGCTTTTAAATTCAGTCCTCTCCAGCAGAAGTGCAGGAATTAAGTAATTAAATATTTCCATTTTCTTTACCTAATGTATGTATATATGTCTATAAAGAGAAAAAGCTTATCTTTATAACTTCTTCTATAAAAAGAGACATGAATTAAAAATTTTTAAATTAAAAATAATATTTTATGAATTATGCATAAAATATAACTGCGCATAGTGCATTTTAAAACAAATGAGATATCTAATAAATTATCCAGCTATGACTCTGAAAAAATTAAAAATGAAGAAATCAATGCTAAATTTTTATATATTACCTGCTTTCTTCCCAAA